AAGCGCGAGCCGGCGTACGTTAATTGGAGCCTCGACGTGGCGGTGGCGGAGTGCATGGCTTCGCGGAGGATGCGGCGCTGCCCGTACGCGCATCAGCGCGAGGTGCTCACCGCGCTGCGTCAGCCGAAACGGCGGGAGGAAGCCGCGGCGTGTGGTCACCAGCAGCAGCAGCAGCAGCAGCAGAAACAGATGGGGCATGCGAGGAAGGCGAAGGCGATGCGTGGGCGTGACGGCGCAGTGGAGCGTCAGCGTATCTTCAAGACCCTGACGCCGCTGCAGAAGTGCATTGTGTGCCTGCTGTGGCAGGGCAGCTACGAGGTGCCGCAGAAAGTCGTGTGCGACGTGCGGCGCCGCATAGAGGCGGAAGAGGCGCAGCAGGAGCTCGACGTTGACGTGGAGGCGGAAGAGGAACGCGTGGTGGCCGTCACCGCCTGCCGCGCGGCCCTCGGAGTCGTCGATGTCTCCTCCATCCCACACATCCTCGCGTACGTCTCGCAGCACCCGGAGGCGTGCGTCATTCACCCCGATACGGCGGCGTACTTCACCGGCGGCGGCGGCGTCGGCATTCCGCGCGGTGTGACGGAGAAACAAACCGACATGAGCGCACCAGCCTGTGCGCACGAGGTGGTGGAGGCTATTGTGTGGACGCTGCGCCTCATGAACGAAGAGATGGCGCAGCAGCAGCAGCAACAGCAGCAAGAAAAGAGGCCGGTGGTGCTGCGCTCCCTTGCACTGCGTCGCTGCGGCATCACCGCCGCGGATGCGCTCATCAACGCCTTGCGCAAACACCAGCTCGACAGTACATTGCTTGCACTCGACATGAGCGACAATCGGCTCATGAATCTCCGCCTCCTCTTCACCCTCCGCGCGCACTTCTCCGAGCGTCTGTTGCGGCTCTCGCTGGCGGACAACCCCATCACACGCAAGCCGGAGTACCGGGAGCAGGTGCGGCAGTCGCTGCCAAAGCTCACAAGCCTCGACGGCACCACCATCCGTCGACCGCCGCTGTCGCTGCCGTACCCGTCGGTGCTCTCGTGCACATTCCTAACAGACGAACTGCAGCGGCAGGAACACAGCCGCCGGGTGCTCAGCGGCAGTGAACTTGAGTCTGTCATGGAAAGCCTCGCGCGCTTCATGTACATCTGGGAGACCCGCCGTATCCCGTGGACGGCAGAGGAGGTGCTCGAATTCGAACAACAGCAGCAGCAGCGGCAGCAGTTGTCATCGTCGTCATCGTCGTCGTCACGATCAGCGGAGAAGCGGTGTGAGGAAACCAAACAGAGTGCCGTCCTTCCCCCCGAAGAAGAACTTGATGATGACAATTTTCATCACCGCTATTTGCATCCGTCAGCGGTCTTCTCCATGGCACTCCATGAGGGGCTCGCATTTTTCCAGCCCGACGTCATGCGACTTGCCGCAGACGTTGAGCTGGACGACAGCTATGCCGGCATGCGTCTTGCCCCGGTGGACGTACGTGATCTTCGTGTGTTTGACGTGGCCATGAAGGGCAACAGCCGCAACTTGCTGCTGGGGCGCTCCGTCCTGCACCGCTACGGTCGCGGCTCGCTGAATTGCTACACGGCGTACAAGTACAGTCTGTACCCGCAACGGCTGGATGTCTGCCACCACCTCGGCGGCGCAGTTGTGTCTGTCGTGAAGATCACTGACACCGCGCGGAAGAGCACCTCGGAGGCGTCTGCAGTGCCCAACCAGCCAGAACAGCAACAACATCAACGTCGGAAGAAGCAGCGTTCGGGGTCAGAGCGCCCCACTTCAATAGCAGCAGCAGCAGCAGCAGCAGCGCCCGAGCCCTTCTCGAACAGCGGTCAAGCGCGAAAGCCGGCCTTCTACCTGGTGACGCTCCACGGCGTCATGTCATGGCGGGCGCCCAGCATGAAGCGCACTGAGTCTGTGCTGGCCGCGTACGACCGCGTCATCACGTTCGTGGAAAACGCGCTACCGTCTACTAACGCGGTCGAAAAGAGACGCAGTGCGCCCCTCCTTGTGTTCAACGACCAGGTACACCTGCGCCCGCTAACGGACGGCGACCGTGCGTATGTGATGGGGCAGACGCAGGAGCGGGTGGCGCGGCTCGTCGTGGAGTTTGGCCTCGAGGCGTGCGGCGACGGCGTGTTGCTTGTGCGCGCGGTGGTGGAGCGTGCGAGCAGCGACGCGGCCGCCAGCGCGGCACTGCGCCTCCTCGTGTTCGCCTCCGACTCGGAGAGCGAGGGAACGGAAGAGGGGGAGGAGTCCCCGTTGTTGTTGCTGCTGCATCAACAGCAAGCCAGTGAGGTTGGCGGCGGGGACAGGAATACAGCGCTGGGGACGCACTTTGACATCGCGTCGCTCCTTGTGGAAGACAATGTGGAGTGTCCACCGCGGCGCGTGACGCTCGTGCAGGTAGACGCGGTGGTGGCGGCAATGAATGCGCGTCACAGCGCCGCCCTGCGCAGCGGCGAAGGCAGCAAGCCTCCGGAGGGGAAGAAGAACGAGGAGGAAGCGAAGGTGGACGAAGAGGCGGGGG